AGTGTCATGGTATGTTCAGTTATGTTATGCTATTGTGTGTTATGTAGTGTTATGGTCTGCAATGCCCTGCCATGATGTGCTTCGTGATGATGTATTACGCTGTGCTTGTCATGGTATTGCCATTTTATGTTCTGTTATGTTATGGTGTGTATTGCTGTGCTTTTCGTGCTTGTCGAAGGCGCGAGGCCGGACTCCCATGGACTCGGGGACTCGGGACAACTTGGGGTCTGGCGGCCGCGGTATGCAGTCGTGTTTGTCGAGGGCGCGAGGCGGGAGTCCCAGGGACTATCGGGGTCTCTCGGGACAACTTAGGGTCTGGCGGCCGCGGTATGCAGTCGTGTTTGTCGAGGGCGCGAGGCGGAGTCCCAGGGATTCTCGGGGACTCTCGGGACAACTTGGGGTCTGGCGGCCGCGGTACGCGTGGGGTTTGCCGTGGGGGTTGTTCTTGAAATCTAACATCCCCACTTTGTCGGGTGGGGAACAACTTCTCAGGAGGGGCGAGGGCTTTTGAGAAGTCCCGCCGCCTTCTGATAAGGTCTTCTCCTTCTCATTTCCCCCCCTCGCTCTCCGCCAAATATTGCGTGCATGTGAGTACATTCGAGCTGGCGTGAAGTGTGGGCTCTTATTTCTGACCATCCTCAGCACTATTGCGCGAGCGCACCCTTGACAACTTCGCGCTGTGACAAGAGCCTTACAGTCATAAACCCCCTTCGACGCTAGTTTTCTTTGTAGTCGATGTCGGTCCTTCTCTGGTTGGTAGTCGGCTCCTGGGAAGGCCGATGTTCGGATGTGGGCAGAACTTCCCCAGAGTGCCTCGCACGCTTCAAGCAGTCGTTGTGATGTCTCGCAACAGCACTGGGCACTGGCAGTTGAGCGGTAAGGTTTCGAACTCATTGCTGTGGCCCCGGGCTGTGCGGTCTCTCTCTCTCTCTCTCTTTTTCTCTGCATCCCTGGGTTGCTGGCGCAGGGCCTCTCTTTCTTTCTTCCAGCTGTGAGCTTCCTCCCCCCTTGGCCCGACCTCTCCTCCCCGGACTGCTTCGGGCGCTGCGCACTGGGGGGCGATGAATTGGGGGGTGAGGTGCACCGTTCGTGCCTTGAAGGGCCCTAGAGGGGCACCCTCGGGGGCCCAAGAGGGGCACAGAAGGGTTTCTCCCTCCCAGCATTTGTCGCCTCGCCCCCCCCCCCCTGTACAGTCGAGTCGAATGAGTAGGTCGACCCTTCCACATGAAGGGTATCCTTGTGCTCTCTCGAGGGCGCCCTCTGTGCTCTCTCGAGGGCGCCCTCGAGGGCGCGAAGGTATTCGCGCTTCGCGCTTCGCGGTTCGGCTCCGATTCCTCCTCATCCTCCTCTTCTCCCCTGGGAGGCGGCGCGAGAGCGCGAAGTTCTTCGCACTTCGCGCTTCGCGCAGCGCGAAGCACGAAGTTGGGAGCTCTTGTCTCTGTTTCACGACCCATGCTTCTGACAACGTGGCCCTCGGAAGGGTCTCTGCTGCCCTCTCGCGCGTCCTCGCCAGCCAAGCTCGACCGTAGGCAGCGCCCGCCTCCTCCCCCCCGGGCCTCCGGGGGTCTCCCCCCGCGGACATCCCAGACCTGCGCCCGCGCGCAGCGAGGAGGCCCTGGGCCGATGTGCCATCCGGCCCCCGCCCCACCCCGCCCCGAGGGGCCCAGTGGAGCTCCCCACGGGGCCGCGATCCTCGTGAGGGGTGCGCCGAACTGGGGCGGGGCCGCCATGCGAACCCTGCCACTGGCGCCTTCGGTGGAGCTTCTATGGGGCCACGATCCTCGTGAGCGGTGCGCCGAAATGGGGCGGGGCCGCCATGCGAACCCTGCCACTGGGGCCTTCGGAGGAGCTCCCTATGGGGCCACGAAGCATGTGAGGGGTGTGTCGAAATGGGTGATGATGACGATGATGATGGTGGTGATGATGACGTCGATGATGTCGATGATGATAATGATGATGGTGATGATGATGATGATGATGATGATGATGCTGATGGTGATGGTGACGACGATGATGATGCTGATGCTGATGCTGATGATGATGATGATGCTGATGATGCTGATGCTGATGCTGATGCTGATGCTGATGATGCTGCTGCTGATACTGATGATGGTGACGACGACGATAATGGTGATGATGCTGATGACGATGCTGGTGGTGGTGGTGATGATGATGCTGATGATGATGACGCTGATGACGATGCTGATGATGCTGATGAAGACGACGCTGATGATGCTGCTGCTGATGATGATGATGATGATGCTGATGATGATGATGATGATGACGATGATGCTGATGATGCTGATGATGATGATGATGATGATGATGATGATGATGATGATGATGAGGATGATGATGATGATGATGATGATGATGATGCTGATGATGATGATGATGTTGGTGGTGATGAGAGGAGGGAGGAGGGGGAGGGGGAGGAGAGGAGGGGGAGGAGAACGCGGGGCACCGTCTCTTCAAGACGAGGACCCAATCCCACAGGATGGTTGGGGAACAAATCCCCACCAGCCCATTCAGGAGCCCCGCCCAGGAGAGCTGACGGGAAAAAAGGGACGAAGAGACACATATAGTGAAGCCGAGCGTGCCAGGCGAGTAGAGGAAGGAGGGTGTTGAGCCATCTTGGAGGCTCTCTTGGAGCATCGGAGGCCTTCTTGGAGCTACGGGGCTGCATTGTGGGGTATTGGGCTCCTCTTGGAGCTCTTTTGTGGCATCTTGGGGCCCTCTTGGGGCTCTTAGGAGGTCTTGGGGTCCTCTTCGGGTTCTTTTGGGGCGCCTTGGGGCCTTCATAGGGGCCCTCTTGGGGCTCCTGGAGCCATCTTGGAGACCATCAATCAAAGGAGGGGGGGTCCTAGATTTCCCTCCCCCCTCCGGGGCCATCGAAATCGCTTCTCGGGGACGATCTTGGGCGCTGTTGGGGCAGTCCTGGGGCCCTCTTGGGCCCTTCTTGGAGCTCTCTTGGGTCATTTTAGGGCCATCTTGAGGCCTCAAGCGTGCATTGGAAGCGAAAAGGCGAGAAGGCAGAACTCAGTACTATTCCTCATGTAATTGAAAGATTTTGGCTCCCCGGGCAGGTGTCGCCAAGCCATGTTGGGCTATCTTGAGCGATCTTGGAGGCTACCTTGGGCTCATGAGGCCCTTTGGAGCCATCCCAGGCTATCTTGGACGCCCTGACCGCTCGCGGAACCCCCCTTCCAGGTCCATGGGAGGGGGTAGGGGGAGGGGTGAAGCTACCCACCCGCCCGCAAGCCGTCTATCTTACTCCCACCCGCCTTCCCAACACATAAGTATCACCCGAGCCTGAGCGTGTTCAGCGGTCGTCTGTCGATGGGCAGCTACTGGGAACCAAAGCCGACCCCAGGTGCGAGACGCTTGGGCGAGGTGCGCCATTCGTGCCTCGGGCGCCACGCGCGCCAGGCACCCCTGGGGCCCGAGCGTGCCAGGCACGCCTGGTGCGCCAGATGCGCCACGTGCTCCGAGTGCACCAGGTGTGCCGCACAGTCCAGCCGCGCCAGGTGCGCCATGTTCGTGGCATGTGCAGAGTGCGTCAGATGCGTCTGCGCACGTGACACAACACATCGGGAAGCATGTCGTCCCCCCGCTTTTTTTTTCTCGAGGACCAATGCCGATCATTGTGTCTAGTGGGCCTGCGCACAGCAGGCCACGCGCCACCACCCCCGCCGTCCCTGTAAAACACCGTATGACAGTGATCGCGGGACTGCCGCGCATGATCCAGATTTTGCCGCGAGGTGCATTTTTTGTCAGGGGTGGTAGCCCTGCGCACAGCAGGGACTATGCTGGCACACCCGCCGTCCCTTCCAAGCACAATACAAAGTTTTCGCGGGTCTCACGAGCATGACCCGAGATTTTGCCCACAGTGTATTGTGCTTTGTTTTTTGACAGGGATGCTGGCGGGGGCGCATCGGGTTGGCCGCGCATGTTCCAAATGTGGAGGCAGCGTGCGTTTGGTACTGTTTTTTGACAGGGGATGGTGGGGGGGCGGGTCGTCATGGTGTCCTCATGGTTCCTGGTTGGACGCCAGTCGCGTGGGGAGGGGATGCATATGAATAAGGAGCAGTGATCAAGCTACCCACCCGCCCGCAAGCCGTCCAGATCACTCCCACCCGCCCTCCCAACACATGAGTAACACCCGAGCCTGAGCATGTTCAGCGGTCGTCTTTCGATGGGCAGCTACTGTGAACCAAAGCCGACCCCAGGTGCGCGACGCTTGGGCGAGGTGCGCCATTCGTGCCTCGGGCGCCACGCGCGCCAGGCACCCCTGGGGCCCGAGCGTGCTAGGCTGCGCACAGCAGGCCACGCGCCACCACCCCCGGCGTCCCTGTCAAAAACCACTTGACGGTGATCGCGGGACTGCCGCGCATAATCCAGATTTAGCCGCGAGGTGCATTTGTTTGGTCAGGGGTGGCAGCCCTGCGCACAGCAGGGAGTATGCTGGCACCCCCGCAGTCCCTGCCAAGCACAATACAACGTTTTCGCGGGCCTCACGGACAGGACTCAAGACTTTGCCCCAAAGTGTATTTTGCGTTGTTTTTTGACAGGGGTGGTGGGGGGGCCGCATCGGGTTGGCCGCGCATGCTCCAAATGTGGACGCAGAGTGCGTTATATATATATATATATATATATATATATTTATAAATATATACATATATATATATATATATATATATTTGACATGGATGGTGGGGGGGTGGCCCTCATGGGGTTGGCATGGTTCCCGGTTGGCCGCCAGCCGGGTCGGGGAGGGGGTGTATCTCAATAGGGCGCAGTGATAAAACCCTCCCCGAAAGGGATGAAGGATTTTCCGTAGAGGAAAGAACGACATCGGTATACCACCTGCGCCCAGAGGGCTGGTGGGACTGCCACGCCTTCTGAGGGCCTGGACCGCATCCGATGCGGGCTCTGGGCCCCCCCGCGTCACGAAGATCCGCATGCAGGCCGACTGGTCCGCGGGCCCCGAGCGGTGCGCCATGCTGCAGGCGATCGCGGCCACCTCGCGGGCGCGCCGCGTCCTGGAGGTCGGGAGCTTCTGCGGCGCCGCGGCGCTGGCGCTGGCCGAGGCGCTGCCCGAGGGCGGGGAGGTGCTATCGCTGGAGCTGGACGGCGGGGGGCAGCCTCGGCCGCGGCCACCCTGCGCGGGGCCTTCCCGCTGGGGCCCGAGCAGGCGGGGTCGGAGGACCGCGCCGCATCGCGGATGCGTCGGCGATGCGGCTCGACGTGGAGCGCGATGTTCTCTACCCGGACGTCGCCGACGCATCGGTGATGCATCGGGGATGCGGCGCAGTCCGCCGACCCCATCTGCTCGGTCCCCACCCGGGAGCCCTGTATGCCTGCAGTTTCCCAGACCTCCGGCGCATCGAAACATTCGACGCGGAGATCCTGCGTCGCGTTCGGCCTCAGGGGGGGCACCAGGGGCCTCGTCGAGCCCCAGGGCGGAGAAAGCACAACTCTGGATGCAACGCCAGCTCTGGGGGAAGGGTTTCAAGCAGTGGCGAAGTGCCCTGGCGTGCCTATAGGCCGACCCAAACAGTGTTCTAAGAACCTTTCGTGTGGTTTCTTCGAAGGGTTCTTAGGACATCTCTGACGGGGGTATCTGGTTCTAATACATCAGGTTTCTGTTCTACGAACCTCGTTAGTTGCTCTGAGAACATACTCGTGTTCGAATCACTATAGGAATGCCGGAACGGTCGGTCCTTGCTCAAGGGTTGAGATTTCACGGGACCCCGTGTTCCACAACCACAACACATCGGATCCCTTGCTGCCGCGCGCGCCGGCCTGGGCTCTCCAGGTTGAAGGCCACTGGCGGACGGAGCCAGGGCCCGTCTCTGGACGGTCGCCGCCGTGGGGCAGCGAAGACCTCGCCCAGGTCAGCGGAGCCAGCGGCCGCGTCGGTTCGGCGGGAGCCGGCCGTGGGTCACCACATGGGCGCGACGATGACATTTAGGCCTCTTTGTTGGGGTCGGAGCAGAGGGGGTCGGAGGATCGCGCCGCATCGCCGATGCATCGCCGATGCTGCTCGATGCGGAGCCCGATTTGCTTCACGTCGACGTCGCCGATGCACCGCCAACATCGACGATGCGGTGCCTGTGCATCGCCGATGCATCGGTGATGCATCGGCGATCTGGCGTGATCCTCCGACCTCATCTACTCGGACCCCATCTAGGAGGCCTCTACAATAGTCGAATCGTGCTCGCTTCCCAGTCTGGGCCATACAGGTGCCTCTGCCATGGGGCCGCGCGAGAGCGCGGGAGTGCCGCGCGATGCGCGAAGCCACGCGGCCTCGCTTCTGTTGATGATTGCTTACCCTGGGCTCGGGCAGCTCTCACGCCCACCACGCTGTCGGCAGCTCCCTGAGGACGAGTACGCGGTGGACTTCGCCAAGCGTTTCCAGACGCGCAGCCCCTTTGGCCACAAGATTAAGCACATGGTGGGGCCCGCGGAAACCTCCCTGAAGGAGCTCGCGGAGAAGGCCGTGGACGGCAAGCCTTTCGATCTCGTCGTACTGGATGCCGACAAGGAACGTATGGAGATGTATCTCGATCTGCTCAGGAACACCCCGGGGATGCTTAGCGAGGACTCCGTCGTCTGCATTGATCTCACCCCTTTCAAGGGACAGCCGCCGCTGCGCTACCAGAAATATGGCTTCCCTTACCTGGAAGAAGGGTCTGGTCAGAAGGCCATCGACGCCCTGCGAGCCAGGATGGCCGCCGAGCCGGATGTCGCCGCGTACGAGTTTGGGCAGATGATGGTAGTGCAGAGGAGGCGGAACTAGTAGGCCCCGCCGGCATAGGCGCCTCGACAGCTCTCAGCCAGGATGCAACTCTGGGCTAGTTACATTCAGCATCGACGCTGGTATCTCTCTGGACGAAAACTGGCCGAATCTGGCATGGTCATGCTTGATCCCGCTTAGGTCTCACCGAGGCCTCCCAGAAATTGTCTCCTGCCTGTGACCCTGAGATCCGACGTGGCGAACAAATTCACCGCCCACCAAACCACCTCAACCCAACCCGAATGCCCCAATCTGTTGCGCTCCATTCCCAGTGGGGGAGGTACCCTGGAAGATCTGGATGAACACAATGGAACCCGCACGCACCCCCAACCCGAACTTTGGGACCTCGGGTTTGCCTGGGGTTGTGTGGTAAGTAGTCACAAATGCTGGCTAGGGGATCGACTGCAGAACTGAATTACCCCCATCTTGGTTTTCCTTGTGAATCTACGACAAAACACGTAGAATGCTCTGCTGGTCTACGGAGCATTCCACGTATTTTGTTGCATTTTCAAAGAGCAAATCAAGTCTGGTGTGAATGAGTTCTGTAGTCGATCCCCCTACTCGCAAGTGGCAGCATCGCGGCAAAAACCACGACGCGGCCCCTCCGTAGATGCCGCCCATCCTCTGGCACTCGGCCTCCCGGGGCGGATCGAGATCCGTGAGGCCCAGGGGGAGCCCGCAGCGGGGCGAGACGCACGCCCAGTGCGTGGGCAGATTCGCGGCCCTCCGGATCTCAGGGGAGCTCTGCGTCGGGCGTTGCGCGGTTGTCGGAGAAGAGAACGGCTTGTGGAAGTTGATCAGCGGAGAGGAGGCATGCTGCCAAATAGTTTCCAGGTGTCCAACAACGTTTCAGACATGTCTTCAACATGTACAATAACATCTTCATACATAAGCACACCTTTAATTCCATGATAGGATTGTCGGAGTGTAACAAAGAACGGTATGACAAGAACTGACTGGATGGTTTAGTTGTAGTAATTATAGGTGTGCCAGTCCTTCAATTCAAAGGCTGATTGTCTGTCCAAATTGAATAACAGTCCTCCGTATTACGTATAACTACCGTGCAAATTAAAGGCGTGCCAGTCCTTTAATTCCATTATAGGATTGTCGGAGGCATGGCATCCACAGAGAACGGTATAACAAGAAGTGCTCGGCGGTCCGCGCGGATCTCTTGCGTCGGCGGTGGGCCCCCCCTGGCGGCGTCGCCGGCGCCGCCCCCCAGCGCGCTCCGCGCGCCAGGGAGGGGGGGGTCCAGCGCGGATCCAGGCACGCCGCGTGGGCCTTCGAAAGTTTATCCGTAAGGGCTCCTCCTCCTCCTCCTCCTCCTCCTCCTCCTCCTCCTCCTCCTCCTCTTCGCCCCCTGCCGCCAACCCCCTCTCTCGGAGAAGGGGCCATGGAGGAGCGAAGTCGTGAGGCTTTGGCTTCGCCGTGAGGCAGTGTCGGGACCCGTTTGTTTTTTTCGACCCTGACCCTACGGCCGAATTTGAGAAATGTAGCAAAACCATTGTTGTAAAGGACCCTGACCCTGCCGATCTGCATGAGGGGTGCCGCCGGATTTCAGAAATGTGGCACATCCCTTGTGTTAAAGGACCCTGACCTTGCCGATCTGCGTGAGGGGTGCCGCCGGATTTCAGACATGTGGCAAATCCCTTGTGTTTTTGGACCCTGACCCTGCCAATCTGCATGAGGGGTGCAACCGAATTTCAGAAATCTGGCAAATCCCTTGCGTTTTTTTGGATCCTGACCCCGCCGATCTGCGTAAGGTGTGCCACCGAATTTCAGAAAAGTGTCAAATCCCTTGTGTTTTTGGATCCTGACTCCGCCAATCTGCGTGAGGGGTGCCGCCGAATTTCAGAAATGTGGCAAATCCGTTGTGTTTTTGGACCCTGACCTTGCCGATCTGCATGAGGGGTGCCGCCGAATTTCAGAAATCTGGCAAATCCTTTATATTTTTGGATCCTGACCCCGCCGATCTGCGTAAGGTGTGCCACCGAATTTCAGAAAAGTGTCAAATCCCTTGTGTTTTCGGACCCTGACCCCGCCAATCTGCGTGAGCGGTGCCGCCGAATTTCAGAAATGTGGCAATTCCTTATGTTTTTGGACCCTGACCCTGCTGATCTGCACGAGGGGTGCCGCCGAAATTCAGAAATCTGGCAAATCCCTTATGTTTTTGGATCCTGACCCCGCCGATCTGCGTGAGGTGTGCCACCGAATTTCAGAAAAGTGTCAAATCCCTTGTGTTTTCGGACCCTGACCCCGCCAATCTGCGTGAGGGGTGCCGCCGAATTTCAGAAATGTGGCTTTTCCTTGTGTTTTTGGACCCTGACCCTGCCGATCTGCGTGAGGTGTGCCTCCGGATTTCAGAAATGTGGCAAATCCTATGTGTTTTTGGACGCTGACCCCGCCGATCTGCGTGAGGGGTATAAGTTTTTACCCTCTCCAGCAATTCAGACAATACGATTTGGGCGTGGTAGAAATGCTTGTTTTGGGCCTCCCCCCCTCGCGCGGTCCATCAACAAGGAACAATAAGCAGCAAGAAGTCATCAAGGAACAGCAAGCAGCAAGAAGCAGAACTGTCAGTGGAAACTGGAAGCTGCAACTGGTACAGGAAACTGCGAATCTCCGGCCTACAGCCTGGTGGCCCCACAAGGGGGCCGGCGGATTTTTGTTTCGTTGTTTCTCCTCCTCTGTGGGGGGACGACCAAATCGAGTAGGGGATCGATTGCAGACTTGATGTGCCCCAGACTGTTTTTCCCAACCATCCTATGGTTGGGTACTCGTTTTGAATAGAGCAGTGTGGTCGCCCCGTCCTTCTCCTCCTCCCCCCTCCCCTCCTCCTCTCCTGTTTCCTGTGTTCCCCTCTCCTTTTCTCTCGTGCCGTCGGGCTGTGATCTGCGCAATTGTCGCCACTTTCGTGGGCTCCTGGGAGGCTCAGCGGAGGTGGGTCCCACGCAGATCACCTCGAGACCTCGCAGTGCCCTGGGGGCTGCGATCTGCGCAATTGTCGCCACTTTCGTGGGCTCCTGGGAGGCCCAGCGGAGGTGGGTCCCACGCGGATCACCTCGAGACCTCGCGGTGCCCTGGGGGCTGCGTTCTGCGCAATGGTCGCCCGTTTCGTGGGCTCCTGGGAGGCCCAGCGGAGGTGGGTCCCACGCGGATCACCTCGAGACCGAGACTTCGCGGTGCCCTGGGGGCTGCGATCTGCGCAATTGTCGCCGTTTTTCGTGGGCTCCTGGGAGGCCCGGCGGATGTGGGTCCCACGCGGATCTTCTCGAGACCTCGCGGTGCCCTGGGGGCTGCGATCTGCGCAATTGTCGCCATTTTCGTGGGCTCCTGGGAGGCCCGGCGGAGGTGGGTCCCACGCGGATCACCTCGAGACCGAGACCTCGCGGTGCCCTGGGGGCTGCGATCTGCGCAATTGTCGCCACTTTCGTGGGCTCCTGGGAGGCCCGGCGGAGGTGGGTCCCACGCGGATCACCTCGAGACCTCGCGGTGCCCTGGGGGCTGCGATCTGCGCAATTGTCGCCCGTTTCGTGGGCTCCTGGGAGGCCCAGCGGAGGTGTGTCCCACGCGGATCACCTCGAGACTTCGCGGTGCCCGAGGGCTGCGATCTGTGCAATTGCCGCCACTTTCGCGGGCTCCTGGGAGGCCCAGCGGAGGTGGGTCCCACGCGGATCACCTCGAAACCGAGACCTCGCGGTGCCCTGGGGGCTGCGATCTGCGCAATTGTCTTCACTTTCGTGGGCTCCTGGGAGGCCCAGCGGAGGTGGGTCCCACGCGGATAACCTCGAGACCTCGCGGTGCCCTGGGGGCTGCGATCTGCGCAATTGTCGCCATTTTCGTGGGCTCCTGGGAGGCCCAGCGGAGGTGGGTCCCACGCGGATCACCTCGAGACCGAGACCTCGCAGTGCCCTGGGGGCTGCGATCTGCGCAATTGTCGCCACTTTCGTGGGCTCCTGGGAGGCCCGGCGGAGGTGGGTCCCACGCGGATCACCTCGAGACCTCGCGGTGCCCTGGGGGCTGCGATCTGCGCAATTGTCGCCACTTTCGTGGGCTCCTGGGAGGCCCAGCGGAGGTGGGTCCCACGCGGATCACCTCGAGACCTCGCGGTGCCCTGGGGCTGCGATCTGCGCAATTGTCGCCACTTTCGTGGGCTCCTGGGAGGCCCAGCGGAGGTGGGTCCCACGCGGATCACCTCGAGACCTCGCGGTGCCCTGGGGGCTGCGATCTGCGCAATTGTCGCCACTTTCGTGGGCTCCTGGGAGGCCCAGCGGAGGTGGGTCCCAGCGGAGGTGGGACCCCAGGGGACGATCTGCGCAATTGACTTTCGTGGGCTCCTGGGAGCGGAGGTGGGCGCGGTGACCTCGTGCCCTGGGGCTGCGATCTGCGCAATTGTCGCCACTTTCGTGGGCTCCTGGGAGGCCCAGCGGAGGTGGGTCCCACGCGGATCACCTCGAGACCTCGCGGTGCCCTGGGGGCTGCGATCTGCGCAATTGTCGCCACTTTCGTGGGCTCCTGGGAGGCCCAGCGGAGGTGGGTCCCACGCGGATCACCTCGAGACCTCGCGGTGCCCTGGGGGCTGCGATCTGCGCAATTGTCGCCACTTTCGTGGGCTCCTGGGAGGCCCAGCGGAGGTGGGTCCCACGCGGATCACCTCGAGACCTCGCGGTGCCCTGGGGGCTGCGATCTGCGCAATTGTCGCCACTTTCGTGGGCTCCTGGGAGGCCCAGCGGAGGTGGGTCCCACGCGGATCACCTCGAGACCTCGCGGTGCCCTGGGGGCTGCGATCTGCGCAACTGTCGCCACTTTCGTGGGCTCCTGGGAGGCCCAGCGGAGGTGGGTCCCACGCGGATCACCTCGAGACCTCGCGGTGCCCTGGGGGCTGCGATCTGCGCAACTGTCGCCACTTTCGTGGGCTCCTGGGAGGCCCAGCGGAGGTGGGTCCCACGCGGATCACCTCGAGAACTCGCGGTGCCCTGGGGGCTGCGATCTGCGCAACTGTCGCCACTTTCGTGGGCTCCTGGGAGGCCCAGCGGAGGTGGGTCCCACGCGGATCACCTCGAGACCTCGCGGTGCCCTGGGGGCTGCGATCTGCGCAATTGTCGCCACTTTCGTGGGCTCCTGGGAGGCCCGGC